TTGTCACATGGGGCAGTTGTGCCCGTGTGCACGTGATGCCTCTGGGAACAGCTCGGGGACACCACAGTGCGTGTGCTGCTGAGCAGACCTCTGCCACCATTAGATGGGCTGCGCGCATCTGGGGCACTGCATCTACAGCATGGCTGGGAGAAATACAGAGTGGAGAGAACAAATCCTGTTGTGCTTCTTCCTTGTTCGTACTGTGACAGCTGCCTTCTGTGGTGGAGTACTGCTGTGAAGGGCAGAAAGCTTTCCTTACTGTAGCTGCGTGTTTTTGGTTCAAGTCGTTACACATAGGGACTGTAAACGTCTTCTTAATTATCTCTGAAGGAAACTACACAATGCTTTTCCTCTGTCATTGTGAAATCGTGCTTTAAGATGTGACACACTTCTGATTCACAAAGTTAAGAATTACATTTCTCTTAAAATAAGTGAAAAATGCATTCTGTGCTAGAGATAGCTGAGTCTTGCCCAGGGGTAATTGAAACTCATGGCGCTTGTGTAAAGAGGTCTTGACTCTCAGATGGGTGCTTGGCAGACTTGGTTGACCTACTTTAGCTCTGACCTTGATTTGCTCAGAGGTGTTTATGTACTCATGATCAGCTTTCCTGCGTGATTAAGCTAGTCACATGACTGCTAACTTTTTTTTTTTCTCCTTTTAAAGGGATGAACAGTAAGATTTGATTTCATTGCCTCCTTTTACAAGGGGTTAGACAAAAGAGATTGCACACACGAGAGGGAAATCCTCAAGGAAGTGGTCTGAAATGGGCTGTGGAGAGAAGTTCTTGTGCGGCACAATGACAAAATGTAATCAGGAAGTGGCCTACATGGCATTTGTTCAAGTAGGTTCTTGGAGTACTTTCTCAGCGGGTAAGGTTCATAAACGGACGATTTGCGCTTTGCTTGTGTTTATGGATAATTATTGTGTTGCTTTTCATAGAGGGTTTTTTTGTTTTGTTTTGGTTTGGTTTGGTTTTTTTTAGCCATTGAAAAACTAGCATTTTGAGGCTGAAAAACTCAAATATTCCCTTTTCAAGAAGTTTGTAAAAAGTCCTGACACAGATTACTTCTCTGAGTTGCTGCCTGTTGGTTACAGTGGGGCATGATGGCTTTTGCTCTGATCCTTGTGTTGACTCTTGGTAACTTTAATCCTCATCTCGAGAGACGGCTGTGATTTTCAATTCCCACAATGCTGATGTGTAGGGCTATGGTTGCTAGAACTGAGACAAACATGTAGGACGTGGCAGAGAAAGGGCTGATATGTAAGAATTGGAGAGTTCTGTTTTTTTGAATGTAGTTTTTCTCTGCTTAAATGACTAATGCGCCTCAAAGAAACTGCTTTGAAACTTCTTTTTTGATATGAACAAATTTTTGTGCATTAAAGTACATCAGTGCCAGTGTTGTGGGGTTTTTTTAAGCATTCTTCAGTAGAACTGTGTTAAATTTAAAATAGGTATTTTCTTCTGCTTTCTTTCTTAATTCCAGCATGTCCCACCCTGCTGTCAGGTCATCATTAGTGGTCAGTGAGATTATATTAAACAGTAAAAAGTGGTTTTAACAACTGTGCTCACATACAGAGGTGGTCAGGAGCTTTTGAGTTTTAAAGGTGGATGCTAGGGTCAGAAATTTTTGGGAGTACTTGTTTTTAGTTGGTGCATTATATACTGCTCAGGGTTTTGCATTAGATTCCAAGACCAAATCATGGATGCATGTTAGCCAGGCAACGTATAGCTGTAGCTACCTTCTGCACCTGACTGAGGTTGAGGATAACATTTCTACATCTGAAACAAGGGCAGAGAAATGATGAGTGACTGTGGCTTTACTGGAGGGTTGTGTGTTAATGTGCAGTAATCTCATAAACCATAGTAACATAGTTGAGTTGATACTTGTTGAACTGTTTGAGTAGGAGAGACAACGTAGACAACTAGGAGAAGGCTGATTTAAAATGAAAGTAAAGTCTGGTCTACAGGTAGTTGTATTAGTGTGTGTGAGAGCCTTCTTGTAAGTTGTGGTTATGGAGTTGATGGCAATTCGTAATTTGCTTAAAACTTGTGATATTTTAGCATTTTGTCAATGTCTTCCTGGTGCCAGCTGGCCTCTTAACTTACCTGTACCAATATGCCCACACATTCATAAAGACCTGACTCCTTTTTCATTTTTGAGAACAGGCCACTGAGGGGCTGTCCAGTGAGATGCATGGTGAGCCCTCAGAAGCAGTCTGGAAAGTCTGCTTCTACAGCAGCAGTCTTGTGCTCACAAGCTAGTGATACAAAAGTCATGATTTGCCTGACCTGAAATTTAAGCACTTTCATCCCAAGCAATTACAGTTGCTACTGTAATAGGACTAATGAGTTTCAGTTATTTAATTCTGAATTTGTTGTTCTGGCAGAGCTGAAAAAAGCGATGCTAGTATTTTGTGGAGCTTCTGTTAGCTTCTAATTCTTAACATGTTTATGTATATATATGGGATTCAATAGAATTGGTCATAAAGTGGCCACATTGATGGAATATTAGTTTTTAGGCTTGAGAACTTCTGCAGGTGTCATAGGAACTCATCTGTGTTCTTGGGAAGTTCTTCTTGCATCGCAGTTGGAAAAGCAGATGCAGTGATTGCACATGTCAACCAGCAAGGAGCATACTCAGAAGACTTGCAAAAGCTTTTGCAAGAGGTAGTCCTAGAATGGTTTTCACGTCTCACGTAGTGAGTTTTTCATGAAAAAAGTGAGTTTTGTGGCAGGAATCTAGGAAGGAAGAACAATCATCTGCAGTCCATCCTCTGTCTTTGCAATGTCATTGAGGGACACATCTAGGGGCTTGAGTTTCCAGTATGGGATGTGAATTTTGTTTAAAGCTTGAAGCCTGCAGAATAGGACAAGTTTAACCACTCTTGCTTTGGGAAATGCCAAGTGCTGCTGGAAGGGAAAATAAAATCATAAGCCCAGCCGAAATTATCTTAAGGCTATGGCTACCTTAACATTAAAACAGCTTTTCTCTGCAGTGTAACAGCAGTTTGACTTATTTTGCAAGCGTCTGACAACAAATGCTTTCAGATCTGATGATATGAGTGGAGAAGGCTTATGTGATTAGCTGCAAAAACCAAAGAGAGATAAAGGCTCAAAGGAAATGATGCTGGGAATTTCCTTCCATTCCAGTACTTGGTCTGCTGGAAATGATATCTAACACTTCTGAAAATGAATGAAGCTCCTATGCTTTATAAGGAAATGAATATTCTACTCTTGAGTAGATGAAACATTGTATTTCTCACTTAAAGCATCTGTTTGCTGCTGTAAAAAATGTCCAAACCAGATGTTGTAAACAAACTGGCCTCGAAGGTGTTTTTTACATTTCTTACGGTTGCTGCTTTTCTTTCCATTCAGGTTATTGAGAGTACCTGACTAACAGACTATGAGGCATGAAAAAGTTTTAAGGTGTTCAACTGCTTCAGGCTGAGCATCCTCTTCTTCTTCCAGGTGGATTTAGGCTTCCAAGAAAAGCTTTCAGGTAAAATCTTTTTGCTTCACAACTGATGGCATTCAGTAATGGATAAGCTTTTCACAGTGTTTCTTTCAGCTATGTGATGTTTGCAATCTAGAGGTTTATATTGTGTACTTTCTAGATGAAAAATTCTTCTGTATTTTTAACTAACTTGTCTTAGACCTTCCCTGAGTTATTAGGGTTTTTGAGGGGGGAGTTGGGGGTATGCTTTGGTGGAGGTATTTATTTAATTCATTCATTTTGTATCAAAATCTTTGGAATTGTGTTCCATAAAATTTAGGGGAAGTAGAACTCTCAAACCTTGTGGACTTTAAGAATATGGTCTTCAAATGAAGGAGAGAGGCGTGAAAATTGGTTTTCCCACTAAGCAGAAGAAAGAACTTATTCTTTACTTCTGTTAGGTTGCAGCAGTTCACTGGGCAGTAAACACAAGAGTAAACCTTTAGTTAAAAGTCATGTTGACAATGGGTGGAGAAGCAGGGTGGAGAGAAGCAGCTCTGCATGTCACTTCTTGATGAGCAAATATGGATACACAGAATGTACTCAGTGCTCACACCTGAAAATACAAAGGAGAAGTCTTTAATCTTGCCCTTCATATTGATGCATGTTTGTTTTCCACTGGAGGAGGAAAATCACAGAATCACAGAATCGCCCGGGTTGGAAGGGACCTCAAGGATCATGTAGTTCCAACCCCCCTGCCTAGCAGGGCCACCAAACATACACATTTAAAGCAGGTTGCCCAGGACCCCGTCCAACCTGGCCTTAAACACATCCAAGGACGGGGAAAAAGGTGGAATCATAAGATTCCAGGCCCAGAGTGATTCTCCTTCCCCTCTGCTCTGCCGTGGTGAGGCCACATCCAGAGTGCTGTGTCCATTTCTGTGCTCTCCAGTTCAAGAAAGACTTGGAAATTCTGGATGGAATCCAGTGGAGAGCTACAGGGATGCTTAGGGGCCTGGAACTTAGCCCTTTTGAGGAAAGGCTGAGACATCTAGGACTGTTCTGCCTGGAATGCAGGAGGTTCCATGAGCATGAGAGGGAACTTCCTTTCTTTGGAGGTGACAGAGCACTGGCACATGCTGCCCAGAGATCTTGTGGAGTCTTCTCCTTCTCTGGAGATATTAAAAACCTGCCTGAATGCTTTTCTGTGTAACCTACTTTTGGGGAACCTGCTTTAGCAGGGAGGTTGGGCTAAATAATCTCCAGGGATCCCTTCCAACCCATTGTGATTCTGTAGCTCATGTGAGATATTTAATACACCAGTAGCTGAAAGAAAGAGAAAAAGCCTATGTCTGTTTATGGCAAAAGCAAATAATGTAATTGTAATTTTTGCAATTTTAAGTATATTAAATTGGAGATTTGTTCTGTGTGTGTATACACGTGTATTTAAAATATGTAAATTTGTGTTTATTAATAGTTACTTTTTTGTTGTTGCAACAGTAGACAATCCAATGGCAGACCAAAGGATGGACATTTCCTCTACAATTAGTGACTTCATGTCACCAGACCCTGCTGAATTGATTTCCAGTTCCCTTAGCACTTCAGGAGTGGATTGTAATCGGAAAAGGAAGGGAAGCTCTACTGATTATCAGTAAGTTGGATTTCTCTCAATTTGATAATGCTGAAAAGCAGTTGCAATGGAACAGTATAATTAGAGAGATGAAATAACCTTAACCTTTTCTTGACAACCTGTTGTTTAAAGGCCGTAACAAAGAAAAAAGCTACCATGCACTAAAAGGAAAGTTCATTATTTAGTAATAAGAATAAGGCCTTCATCTCAGTGCAGCTGGAATTGAGGGCTATTGAACGAGGTAAGGCTCAGGAAAGAAACCTTTGCATAATGAGGAAAAAAAAATATAGATGAAATATATGATGTGAAGGTTGATTATGTTGACCGCATACATAGGAAGCAGAATGTCTGGCCAGCAGAAGGGAAGCTAATAATTAATTAGAAAGCAAAAGCAAAACTAGGAATAGTTCCTTCTTTTCACCAATTTTTTGCATTTTCAGTCATTTCCTGTCAGTGTGCTGCCAAACTTTGCCTGATGGGGAGCTATTTTGGTCTCCCAGTTGAATATGAGTCTGGGGAGTCTCTGGTTTGCTGCAGTAGGACTGCCTTGTGTTTTATCAAGTGACTTAATCTTGTATTGCTCTCCGGTTGCAAACTATTGTTCCTGGTAGAATAAAGATTTGTTTCTTGTGGATTGGTGGTAGTATGTTTTCATTTCAAGAAAGCTGCTTCTCTTAAAGGGATGCTTGCTACTAACAAAGCTTAGAGGCACCATCTAAGCCATACCTTCTGTCTTAGGGCAGGTATTTGAAACAGAAAGAAATCACACCAACTGTGCTTTAGAATGGTGAAAGTTGCAGTAATGTGTGCCATGTTTCCAACTGTGTAATGTCTTCTGCTCTAAGTACACCAAGACCAACGTGCTTACTGTAAGTCACTATGCAAACTTCATGTCAATTGTAACTACAAAGCCTAGCTGCAGGGTAACCCTTGGATAGGCCCCTTCCATTATTAACACAGCTACATAATCCATTTCTATGTAACTTGGCACAGATTTTATCATTGTGGGCCTTCTCACAGTTGGCAGTTCCTTCTACGTTAATCTGTACTGAGGATGCCAATTAAGAATTCTGTTCCCTGTGCATGGAGATAATTTTTAGGAGAAGCTAGGTGCAATACTAATTACTGTGTACAGACCACGAGTGTACTGCATACATAGCTTCTGTAATACAAGTTTAGCCTTCTTGAAAAGTACATGATTCCCTCTAGTTGAATTGACTCCTACAAAACTCGGTGAAAAGCCTCAATCTTACCAACTTCCTCTTCTCTAGAAAGGATTTCTCCATCTTTATACTTCTGAGTAGGAAGCATTGCTCAAGTCCTCTTTTCCAAAAGACAGCTTGCTCTTGTAAGTTCTAATTCTGCCCTCTAGGTTGTGTGTGCATTTTATTAAATATGTGAAATGCTGTTTCCTTGAGTCAGTTTATAACAGCTGTCATTGTACAGAGTTCATGTTTTGTTGCAAAGAAAATGGTGACTAGTGAATATTCCTATTTGTAAGTAGAATTTAAGGTAGAATTCCTTGATCCCTCTTTCTATGTGTATGTATGTATAAATGTTCAAGAATTGCTACTGTTCAACTTTTGCTGCCTATACAGTTATTTATTTGTTTTTATATAAATGGTGTGTGTCCAGTTTTACTCTTCATTTACCAATGAATACAGGATGTGAGGAACAGCCTGACTGTTTTAGCGTGCATTCACTCGTCAAATACAAGCAAGCCTATTGGTCAACAACAATTTCAGCTTTCCATGCCAGGATCCTTTCAATCTTTCTGCTGCTCCTTTCCCATTGAAATTCCTCTTCAGCACACTGATATAATTCCAGCTAAAGTTATCTGTTCTCTGTTACAGCGTGTTTTAGTCAAATGCTGGAATCCAGGGCTTCATGCACAGGTCTATGAACACGTACTTTCTGTTGTTGGCAGTAGTGTTTTAAGTTGGAACAATATTGATAAGAAATGACAGTATCCTGAAGCATTTGTAAATTACCCTGTAGCCACCAAAAAAGTCTCTTCCATATCTTGTTTTGCCACAAGAGGCATCTTGTAGCTAAAAGTGGCACCACGAGTGGAGAATTGATGCCTCATTTCTAAGTCCTATGCTGGTCCTGCGTGCTGTTTCTTTGTGAGCATCAGAAGCACTTTGAACTATTATCTAAGTCAGTAACTCAAATAAACAAATGGAGAGATGAAAAAGCCTTTAGCATTATTCAAACTTCTTTCAAGCCTAATGACAAAGGTGATTAATTAAGAGGTGCAATGAATAACATACAGAAAAATTTTTAAGAATGCTAATGTCCAATATTGTGTGGGAATAAGTAATGTATCAGTAGCTAACATGAGAAGTTCTTTCCTAAGACTTTAATGAAACCTAGCTTCGCAGCATATTAAAGCTCAGTGGTATTTGAGATCATTCTACAGACTTGAAGTGATGCCAGCAGTTAATTGCATGTAGAAATTCGTTTTATTTTACTTTTGATACATTAAAATCTGTATAAAGTTCAGAATTAGGACTTAGGCACTGACTAAAACAAAATGTTCTGCTGGGCGGAATAAAAAACTGAGATAGTTGAGATGCATGTTGGTATTTTATTCCTGGCTTTGAGTCCTCTGAAACTCCAGTTATCTAACCACGAGGACAGCAGGCATGCAGCACGGATCTTTTGTTTCTGCTGACAAAACAATATCTCAGTGATGTGCATCATAATTTACATAATAAATTTAGGTCAGTTGTACTGATTTTTCACATGCAGTGTAATGGATTTGATGCCTTCAGAATACACTCACTGCTCATGTCTTCGTTCTTTTTTCATTTCAAATAGGATATAAATTAGCTTGAGAATTTCAACAGAAAATGAGAGATTATTATTTCATATAGATGGTGTACTTTATTTCTCTTTCTTTTCAGACTTGATGGCTTTCCTTTTGAGTAAGTATAAATATTTTTATAATTGGTTTCACTTGAAAAAAGATGCTTAATGTTTTTCCATGGTTTTCTGATTAAAAAAAAAAAAAACAACACGACAACACGACAACAAAACAAGCAGAATAAGGCAGGCTTAGGATTGCCCATGTAAGTGCATTTGTACAGATTTATCTATATCAGAACATCCTCTTCCTCATTCTTTTGTCTAACAGCCCTGTAGTGCTTGGCATTATTTTTCAGAAGTTGAGACAAAAGTTGTACTACTTTAAAACATGCCTGCTTAGCTTTATACACACTCTCATCCACCCTGTACATTTGGCTATTCCAGTGTTGCAGTGCATCATGTGGGTGTAGATTATTGCCATCTCCTATTCCAAAATCAACCACAGTAAGGCACAGCAAGGTTCAGGACACAGACATGAGTGAATTCAGGGCAAACTGTGCATTCTGTACTGGCCCTTGTGATAATTACCTGTGTTGAAATGCCTAACTGTAGTAAATGCAAGTTAGTAGCCCTCATTCTGGTGAGGGCGTGGAAAAGATCTGCTTTGATAAGTCCTTTTTGTTTTTATCCCTCTAGTTAACTGAAAAACATTTTTATAACAGATGATGTCTTTGAACTGCAGTATGCTTTACTGTCAAACACATCAAGCTGTGCCATTTTGTTTGCTTCAAAAGAAATGCAAGAAAATGTTGTAATACTACAGAAAATGCTGTAGTTTTTCCAGGTTATTGCTTTTAAATTCTTCTTTTTTTCAAGGATGTAAGGGTGATTGCAACACTTTATTCTAATTTTATGCTAGTTTGCTAACAGCCTTGCTAACGCTGCTTAGTTTGTGATACGTTGCTTTATTCTGTTTTTGCAGGGAAGGTATGGATACAGATAAAGATGACCAACATGGAAGGTACTATAGACATGGTCACTAAACTGTTTGCTTTACAATGCTGATGTAGGATCTGTTTCCAATATCATGGTCAGGTGTCTCAAACTGTTTCTTTTTTGGGACAGAGGTATAAGATCACTGCACGAAGTAAAACAGTTAAAGAAAATATCGAATGCTTTGAGCCCTACTGCAATATTGTTAATAATGTTATTTTCTGAGGAAAGGCTAAATAAATATTCAAATCTTAAAAATTATTCTAATAAAGATCATTTTGTACATAAGATATGTTAAAAAATGTTTTCAATACTGTAACTTTGTGATATCATTTCTTAACAGGCTGGAGTATGCAGACCAACAAGGGAGAATAAAAAATGCAAGGTAATGCTCTCAGCAAGCATGAAAAGAATTTGCCTTTTGCCATATATGAATACCTGTGTGTGTTTCTTTTATTCTGAGAATTGTTTTTTCTAGCATGGACCTTCTCCTTGTTTTTGATATCTTTGCATTGCTAACTTTTTTCATATATAAACTACATGTAGCTTTGTGGAAGTGATGGAACGTAATTTTGTTTTAGTCACTTCTGTCTGGAAATTATAGCCTACACTTGTTTCTTAAATATTGCATTCTTTCAAACTCAGTAGTGGGTTACAGAGTGTTAATAGTGACTCCTAAGATATGAAAATACAGAACAAGAATTAAATGATTCAGTGTTTGTCATCAGTTTTCCTGGTTAGGGAGAATTTAGTTCAAAATTATCTTGTATATTTCGAAAGAAAAGTTGTAGGATGATTAGAAGACATACAGCCTCAGCAAAAGATAGTTTTAAATACTGCTGTGTTGATGTAGCATATTATACAAATATGTAGTTGAATGCATTATTCAGTGTACTGCATGGGCAACACTGTGTGTGTTCTCTGGTAAAGCAGAGCCAAGTGCTGCAGCCCTTCCTGTAGCTTGTAACTGTTACCACTTAAGTAATGAGCATATTATTCTCTGAAAAAGTCTGTATGTACATTTTATGGGGCTGAGAGGGTGAATGAATTATGAGGAGGATGTTATTTTTTTGTTTTATTGTATATGATTTGGGGATCTTTGTTAATACAGTTTGTTTTCTCATGCTCTTATGTTTTTCCTTCCCACCTTGCTTGCTTAGGGAGGCTCACAGTCAAATTGAGAAAAGGCGTAGAGATAAAATGAACAGTTTTATAGATGAACTGGCATCCTTGGTACCAACGTGCAACGCTATGTCTCGAAAGCTAGATAAACTCACTGTATTGAGAATGGCAGTCCAGCATATGAAAACATTACGTGGTAAGTTGACCGATGGGGAGCAGAGAGAACAGGGCTGGAGGGTGATAAATGGGGTTCCCCCAAAGCTGTCTGTAATTTTGCTCTCCATTTCTTTCCCTTTTGACAAAAATGAGTAACCCTATTCTTGTCTGGTGTGGTTTTACTTGGGGAATTTCAAGGGCTTTTATTTAAGGGAATGAAAGAACCTGTATTTGGCAAATTCACCTGAGCAGCTTAAAATTAGCCATGTTTTCAAGTATGGAGGGGAGATGTGTAACCTTCCAGCAAAGCAGGTTTTAAATTTTGGAGCTTTGAGGGTTTCATGTTTTTTTGAGGAGGTGGCATTTGAAAGATGCATCTTCTCAGTCTTCTGCTGTAGCAGTTCAGTTTTTTCCTATGTGAAAGAACTGATGTAAGCAAGCTGTCTCTACCCTGGAGCTGCTCGTTCTGCTGGAGCCCTGTATTTGCATCATCTCTACACTGTGCTGGTTCAAGATGAAATTCTCTTTGGAACTCTTTACCTAATTGTCTCATCTTTGAATGCTTGCAACAGCACTGTCATATACTTAGGCCCTTCATCAGATACAGCCGTGAAGATTTTTACCTTTTCTCTTACTTGCTTCTGTAGATGTCATTACAAAAACAAAATAGAATTTATTTTTATTTTCTGTCTCTTCCCTTAGAAATATCTTCAAACTTACAGTTATATATCAGCACTCTTCTTCCTACAGAATCTGTGAGAATGCAGAACATACCATGGCCTAGAACAAAGAAAGCAGTTTGTGTGGGCTACCAGAGTTTGTGGTAGAAGTCATGCAAAGGCAAATGCTGCCAACTGTACGTTCCAGCTCAAGGTGTGGTTAGTTTGTTTTAACACCAAGCTACCACGTCAGGGATGCGGCCTCTCTTTCCCCTCTCTCTTGCAGCTGAGCAACTGCAGGATGACTTGCTTCATGGTCTGATATCCTGATCTAGCAGGGAAATTAGTGATGAGGAAGGAATAGTTTTCTGTTAGCTGACCTGACGGATTAGTGTCACTGAATACAGTGAAAGCAAGGCAGCTGAGCCCGTGGGATGAAGGAATAAGGGCTTGGATTGTAATCCGCTACTGAATCTTGCATGGCACTCATCCCTGTTCCTAGGTAGGCCATATGCAAGACTTGCTTGGATAGTGAGGTTAGATTTTGGGGGTGAGTAATATTGCTGCAGGATTTGTGATGTTTTGTGCTCTTACCTTCAGCTGTTTGTGGAAGAACAAGGAGTACTTTAAGACTTCAATTTTAGTCTTCTTAGTCAGTTGCTTTTACAAGTACCTGAAATAGGGAAATATGTGGGTTTCAAAGAGCTGGGGCTGTAGCACAGTTCTGTGTGTCCTAAAGCTCCATATAAGAGTGAAGCGAATCAGTTGCTGGATACAATCTGTGAAGATGATGAAAGCTTTAAGCCTTCAAGAAGTACGCCCCTGAGAAAGGATGCTGCTAAGTTACAGAGTCAGTGTTGGAGTTTCTAGGAGACCTGGCATCCTCCAGTCATGTTTATCCTAGCATTTTTTAAGGTGTAGCTTTTCCTGCCGCTGTCATTTGAGTAAGCTGGTATTTCATAGCAGATCAGTGGTTGTGAATTTGAATCTCTTGTCTTTATGAAGGGATCAGGATGAAAATAATTACTCTAAAATAAATAGATGGTTCATTTGCTCTGGTTTTTTTTTTTTTTGTTTTTTTTTTTTTTTTTTGCTTTTTGCATTGGTAAGTCAGGCCAGTGTAACACCTGCTTTTTGTCAATGGTATGGAATGAGAACTGATTTGTAAGCTCCTCTCTGACAATCTTTTTATGTCACCTCATCGTGTTTTCGTTCTTTACTTTCTTACTTTCCATTTCTTATTGGAGATCAGAACATAAATCAAGCAGAACATTTGGGTCAAAAATATGTCAAAAAATGCTTACATCTCAGAAGTCACTTAATTTGTATTACTGTAATGCAGTATTTTTGCTTGCAGCTAAAAATACCAACAGAGTTCATCATATTAATAAAATGAAACAAAAAATCAACTTTCATTTTAAAGAACAGGTGAAACGAATGGTGGTGTAAAAAGGAATCAAAGGAAATTGCTTATTGAGGTGTGCATTGTTTAAATCACAAATTCTGATCTGGGGATTTTGTTTTTCTTTAGGTGCTACAAACCCATATACAGAAGCCAACTATAAGCCTGCTTTTCTGTCAGATGACGAATTAAAACATCTAATACTCAGGGTATGTTTCAGCTTTTAATGATGAGATATTAGTGGCTGTGAATGGAATTCTTTCGTGGCAAAACACCACTATTTTTCTGCCTGTTGTCTGAGCTTAAGAATGTTGTGATAATAGAGGATAACACAGAAATCTGTAAGACCTTTGCACGCAGTCATTAGGTTTTAAAGATGAGCAACAGCTCTGAAATTAAGCAAAAGGATTTCAGGGGGAGGGCTGACAAACATGTTGTTTAGATAGTAACAATATGAATTTTCAGTTATTTCATGAAATAGACTAAAATTACATCAAAAAAGAATGCTGACAGACTTTCTGCCACGTATGACCTGGACAAGATTTTTAGCATATAATGTTATAGGAATGCCTTGTTTTGAGGTCACTGATGTCACGTGGCATGATGTGTTTGTATCCTTGCTGTATGCATTTATAGCACAGAGAGAACATATTGCTAGTGTAAGTTGTCAAGCACTGCAGTGTTCAGATGCAGCATGTTTGGAATTTAATTTCTGCAGCATTGTGACTTTAGAGCTGTAAAGGTAGGGCCTAATACTGCATGCTGGTATGTGGCTGAAAAATAGGGCTTTCAGAATGGGAACAACTTGCTTGTGGACACACAAATAAATACCCAGATTATTTTGGTTTCCAAAATAGGAACTCTGGAATAAATGCATTTAAAATACTGTTTTAAAAAAATGGACATTATTAAACATAATTGTAATATTACTGGACAAAATATGGATGCATTCTTCTAATACAAGTGATTGGTGATTCTGGGCACGATTCCCAGAATGATGCCAGAAATGTTAGCAGATGAAAAATAAAACCCCAAAAATGTAATTTCATATCTTGTCTGTTGACTCAGATATCTCTAAATGTTAAGAGAGTTCTCCTAGTGTGGAAATCCTGCTGTATACCAAGTGGTTTTAAACGTTTAATGATGCAGTGGAGATGTATAACTTAGTAATTTACTTCTCCTCTGCCTCCCCCCTTCCCCCAAATTAGGCAGCAGATGGATTTCTTTTTGTTGTGGGCTGTGACAGAGGGAAGATACTGTTTGTTTCAGAATCTGTCTTCAAGATCCTCAACTACAGTCAGGTATTCTTTTCCTTTTTAAGTAGCGTTGGCCTTAAAAGATTTGAAAACAATTTTATTGTTATGCATTTCTATGGGAGGGTTTTTTGTGTGAATAGTCTGTCCTGAAAGCTGAGATTTTTTGCAAAGAAAACTTTTCTCTGTCATGCTAATAGACAAGATTGCTTCTGGCTTCCATTCAAATGAAAGAGGTAAAAAGGTACTAACTTGACTTTACTGATTGTGACACATTCTGTTTGGGTTTTCACCATCAGGCTTGCAGAAGTGTTCACTAATTTGGCTTGTATGCATATATTGAAAAATCGGCCTGAGGTTTCTCCAGTAGCATTACATGAATTTTTCATCTTGGTTAAATTTCTGTTTTTGCTAGCATTCTTACTGATGGAAACTGGGAAGCAATTGTAACAAAGCCAGGATTTTGATATATGCTTAACATGAGGCGTAACTTAAAAACATACATTGTATAAATCATTTTTCATTCTTTCTGTTGCCTGCTCTCCTTTCCAACTTGAAAAACTGTATCAGCTTCAAAAGTTTTCATCAGGCATCCTTTAGTTGGGTATTTACTAAATAGAAACTAATTGCGTAAATATTACAGAAGAAGAATTATGACTTGAAATGTGTAGCATACAAAAGGAAGCTGAAAAGAAACTGGAATATCTGTTGTTGGTGGATTGAGCATGCTGGTTTTTTAAAACTCTTACTGAAAATAATGAAAGTACTTAATATGAAATGTAGCCATAGCTGTGGTGAATACTAATACCTTCCATTTAATCCTGGATCTGAGATGTTTGATGTTCATTGGTTAGACCAGTTCTTTATGACTGATGCTAAAATTGGGAAAATATACAGTACAATTATTTTAATTTTTGACTGAGTATTCAATCCCTACAGAACGATTTAATTGGTCAAAGTTTATTTGACTACCTTCATCCTAAAGACATTGCCAAAGTGAAGGAGCAGCTATCTTCTTCTGACACTGCACCACGAGAAAGGCTTATAGATGCAAAAAGTGAGTGTCCTTTCTTTTGAACAGTACTGCCATATGTTTGGTGAACGTGCAAAGTGTTTGTGGGGGGTGCTGTTTGGATTGCATGTCGTGCCAAGGAAGAGAGAGAAGAGAAAAGATAAATTGGATTCCTGCAGTAGATGCTTTCGATTAGCTGGCTTTGCTTGTGAGGTACTGTCTCTTCTCCAGGCATGGGAAGTTTTGCTTTTTTTCCCCACTGAAACATATGAAGTGTTGTTCTAATCTTTCATTCTCAGTGGTCGAAGTACACTGATGTTATTTTGGTTATCCATAGCTGTCAGTTGTGGAAGAGTACTTTTTTCCCCCAATTCCAGCAATGACCTAACCTTTCTCTTACAAGGTTTTTTACTTGGTCCTTGGAATCATTTCCTCCACTTACTTCTACTCCATTCTGGTGTTTAAAAGTAGTTCTGTATCTGTGTTGTTCAGAAGTGTGTGGGTATTTAATTAACTCTTGTAAAAGGAGTCTGCATTGCTTAAGTAGAAAGTGATATCTTTATAACTGCAAATTTCCAAGTTGTTAAGTCTCATGCTTGTTAGAAACAGAAATCTGTAGGACTTCATATCAAAAAAACCACCAGCTCATCTTCAGAAAGTGGAGCTAGGGGTCACTCCAGGGCAAGGAGCGCAGAGGCTCAGGCTGGCTCAGCTGAAGTTTCTCTGTCTCTTGGCTTTGCCTGGTCATCAAACACGTGTATCCAGTGCTATCCTTTTTTCTATATGCCTCTGACAAAGTCAAGCAAAAATAAAGACCATAGTATACAGTTTTCCCATCTGCTACAACAGACAAACTGGTAAGTTTTCAAGAACAAATATTCTTAAGAGTACTGATGTTTGTTTGTATTTTTATCTTGGCATAAGTGACTCCCATACAACCTGTACTTTCACCAGTGAACAGCAGTTCAGACTGTGTATGGTGCAGGACAGGCTGGCCTCCTTGACGTGACCTCTCTCAATTCTATTTTCCACAGAGGCACTCTTAACACTAAAACATTGCCATCATCATTTTTCTCCTTGCATTAAAAACTGGCAGGATCCTGGAAGGTTTTGTAGCTGTTCATTTATACATATCCCCATGCAGCAGTGGTTGAAGTGGAGAGCAAGCTGTGGAAAAGTTGCTGTGTGATTTTAATTCATCAGTTTTTAGAGAACTGTCCCTTGAAGCTCCTTCTGCATTGCTGGGACACCATGCTCTTAGTGTGCTGTTTGTATCAGCACTCTGTTGCTGGTTTCCAGGTTTGACATGCATTTTCAAAGAATTTTTTCTCCAGTGGTTTTCCACGGAAAATGATCTAAGATTCTCTTACAGGTATATGATAAAGGTCAGGACTCACTGATAGGGCATATTCATATGAATTTTGTAAGGACAGAGATTCTTCTTACACATAACGGGAGGTCTTGGGTGTTTGCAGTCCCTGTGTGTGTCACTGCTACCCTTTCCCCCTTCCATCATGGAATCAGACAATGGCTCGTGTTGGAAGGGACCTTAAAGCTCATCCAGTTCCAACTCCCCCACCATGGTCAGGGACGCCTCCCACTAGACCAGGCTGCCCAGGGCCCCATCCTGCCTGGCTTCATTGTCAGAAATCGGATATCTGGAGACACTGTAGTTGAGAGAGTCCTGGGATGGTGCTTTTTACATAAACATATGTGCTCTCTGTGTGCATTTTGTGATTTAAAAAGTCTTCTGATAGGAAGGGTCATGGGTACTGCTCTATGGGTAAATAATCTCTATTTTTAATCAGTTGATTAGTGTTCAAAGAAATCATGTTAATTGCAAAACTTGATTGGACATTAACAACCTATTTCTAATCTTCTAATCTAAGGCTGTGTTCTCAAGCTCACAGTAGAAAATGTGATCAAAATCATTCTAATATTCATGTGGTCAGCTGAGTATCCTGCAGGTGGTCACTGAAATAAAAATCTCCACAAGAGCACCTCTGCTTCTGAAGGAGATACAACAGCTGTGAAGTTAAAACCTCATACAGTTTGGTTATATGATGTAATTGTATGGTTACCTTTTAACCCAACAAAGGCAGCTTCCTCACTTCCTCTGTTTGCTGCAGCTGGACTCCCAGTTAAAACTGATATAACACCTGGGCCATCACGACTATGTTCTGGAGCAAGGCGGTCCTTCTTTTGTAGGATGAAGTGCAACAGACCTTCAGTGAAAGTAGAAGACAAGGATTTTCCTTCAACCTGTTCAAAGAAGAAAGGTAACGATTGTGTGTGTTAATATCAGATGTAATGGCTGTCAGGCTTTTTTTTTTTTTTAATGTATATGATTGCTCAGTTGCAGTAGTTAAGTTCTTGATATTTATTGAATAGGATCAATATTTATTCTTAAGATATTGTTACATGAGCTATGTTCTGATCTGTTACTTTTTCTTATTTCGGACAGTTTCCATTCCACACTTCCCTTCAAATGTAGTATTTCTGCACCTGAACTATTCGGTCACAATGCTATCTATGGTTTTAATTAATGTTTTTTTTTCCTCTGCAAGGTATTACTGCAAATGTGTTGGCATATATGCTTAGTCCAAGGTTGAAAGTTTCTTCTTTTGAGCTCTTTGGACATTTTATATTAGTTGAAGTAGAAAGTGTCAACTAGAGACAGTAACTTCAGTGTTTTGTCTCTGGATGTGACAGCTGCTCCAAGTACTGCCCGCTAATTTCAGACGTAGCTTCAACTTTCTATCACGCCTTGGTGTTAACCCTGAGAAAAGTGCTTTGTGCAGTTAGGCACAAGGTTTTTTCCTCTGCCTTTCTGTCAGAGTCGTCTTCCTTGCTGTCATGAGGCCTGCTCAGTGCTGAGTAATTTGAGTTCTCCTTTCGGAAAGTGACTGTACTACTTGTCACTGTGAACCTTAGTCTTTACCCCTATAGACAGCTTATCTTCTGTATGCCCAGACTGTATATTTTCTGGCAGCCAAATTGGTTTCATTATTTGTAGGAGCCTCGTGCTAAGTTGAAAAATGTCTTATTTACTTATTAATAAATATAACATTAACTTCCTCTAGCAGTCCTTTAGGTTACTTGCATTCTTTGGTGAAATAATAAGATGTAATGCGATTTCTACTTGAGGGTGATCAGAAGAGATCTTGGTTTGAACTCTGTGGTGGTTCAGTGTTAACAATGATTTTGTTGAGGCAAACTGTATATTGGCTTACCTCAGATAAGCTGTGTTGAAGCAGGAGTACTGGGAAATCCCCTAGTGAGAAGGATGAGGGTAAGGAGGTGAATATTCTCAGAACAGAGAGGTGAAGTTCTCCGAAAGCTGTATTGTAGCCTAACTGCTTTTTTGTTCTTGTTTTTATAGCAGACCGCAAAAGCTTCTGCACTATCCACAGTACGGGATATTTAAAAAGCTGGCCACCAACGAAAATGGGACTAGATGAAGATAATGAGCCAGATAACGAGGGTTGTAATTTAAGCTGTCTTGTTGCAATTGGTCGCCTGCATCCTCATGTAGTACCACAGCCAGTCAATGGTGAGATCAGGGTGAAACCTACAGAGTACGTTTCTCGACATGCAATAGATGGAAAATTTGTTTTTGTAGACCAGAGGTAAGGATACTTCTGATAACTTCCACAGCAAGTTGCTGTCCAACACCGATTTACTGCTAGTGTGATAGACTTAAAGAACTGTAAATATTATTGAAAAAAGACATGTCTGATCTTTTCAACTTTATACTAAGTCCCAACTCTAAGTTACTCTGCTTTGGAGACATAGCACGAAGCAACTACCCTGTACTGATCAGGTACTACTGATTCAATTATAAAATCTCCTAAACTGTGGCTTACGGTTTAGGCAGTAGGCAGAATAATGCAGATATCAATTCTGCCCGTTTATCAGGAGGATGTATGTATGTAATCCTCAGAAGAATATGCTGTCCTATTTTGCTACTGGAGTTTGTAACTACAGCGGTTGGTTGTTTGAAATCTGCAACCACTGCATGGATAAGTTTTATTGCACAGTCTACATCAGGCTTATATATCATACTCATTTCTGTGAGCATCTATTTGGGCATAGTCTACTGAGTTAATACCTCTGCATGTGATCTTTTGTATTCATAAGAAATAAAACTTTTCATAAGCTTTACTTGGAATAGGTTTGGGAATGTGGACCAGTATTGGTATATTTTTTTTTCAAACATCAATTTTATTGTCTATTTTTTATATATTTATTCAGGTTAATTCTTACTACTGAAAAAGAAATTCCTTGAATTTTCTAACGTAGCAAAGAGATGTGACCTGGGCCTTCTTTCAGAATAACTGACATTTTCCAGGGAAAAGGAGTGGTTGATGGATATTAATGAAGGGTTGTTTTGCTTGGGAAGGGCTCTTTTGTTTCCCTTCCATGCCAAGATGGGTTGAGACTGCTCAGCTGAGACTGTTTCACGTTGTCTGTAGCTTAGGCACGATTATTTACAATGTAAAAAAGCCCAGGCTCCAAATTCTGCCAGAATCTGCCTGCTGGAATTTGTTTCTGGGGTGTGTCTGTGCTCAGCTGATTCCTAGTAGACTTTGAGAGGAAATTGAGCTGGTAGTGTTAAGAAGTACAGTAAGTGATATCTTTTTCAATAGCGTGCCTGATTGTAGTGGTTGCTTCTATTTTCTCTTTTGTTTTGAATTTCACAGTAAGTTTTTAGAAATACATGTTCTTCTGCAGCAGTGCTGCTAGCTAGTGGTCGTTATGGGAGCTGGCAGAACATCACAGCCTTTCTGCTGCTCAGAAAGTGTGTCATGCTGTGATGCCAAGTGATGGTAGTTGATGAACAAGTTTTGTTTTCAAAAGATGAAACCTACTCTTCCAATAGATACTGAAGTCTTTCCAACATAATGACTCAGAAAACGTTGACCAGTTGAGTTCAAACCTGTATACTCTATTTAATTGTTTTCTAGACGAAATCTGTATCTGAATGTTAAATCTGGATTCTTTTGGCTCCAGTTTAAGCCCATTACAACTATGGAAACAGCCTGTGTCCGTTCTGTTTTTGTGCTCCCTTTGAGAAGGGAGAAAAAACTATAATGAAATAGCCTGCTTGTGCAGGTTAAGGAGGGAGCTCAAGCAGTTCTTCAGACCTTACCTGTCTGTTTTTCAAAGGCACCTTATGGGGAAAGGGTGCCAATATCTTGTAGCTGTTACAAAGCAGCTTTATTCAGGTTTAAATTTTCAGAATTACAATATTCCTCCAGAGCTGTTTAGAAACTTTCACAGCCATGGTGGTCACAGGTCTAAAATAATACCTGAGAGTCACTGGCATTATCTGTTTTTTAATTACCCATGAATTAGAAAGATTAATCTTTATGACTTTTTCCTCTCTCACCTGAAAACAACTGTCAGCACTACTTACTCATTTTCAGACTTTTAGTAAGCTGTCACAAATAGTTCAACTTGAGAGTAAGGGTTTTTTGGTTTTGCTTTTGATTGTTTTGTTTTGTTTTTAAATCTTTTTCCTCCTTTCCTCCCCACCCTTTCCTTCCCACTCCCAAGGGCAACAGCCATTCTGGCATACTTACCCCAGGAACTTCTAGGTACTTCATGTTATGAATATTTCCATCAAGACGATATAGGACATCTTGCAGAATGTCATCGACAAGGTATGATTATTAATAAATTGGGTAAATGAATTTAAAGAAATGCTGGGAATTATGATGTATTAAAAAAGCTTCCCAAACCCGTTCAAGTCTGCCTGTCTCTTTCTGTAAATGCTCTAATTGATAACATTGTTTGCATGTACCAAGCAACACACTTCTTAGACTTCCATGTATTTTTAGTGAAAGCTTGAAGCTCCCATTGGGTAAAGGGGCAAACTGCAGAAATAAGACTTTTCTCCATGTGTGCAGGGAGGAGTTAATTGCACAGTTTCGTGTGATAAGGACTCTGCTTCTGCAGTCATGCTGCTGTTTCCCAAAAATTACTTGCTGTCTGTTTTCAGTTTTGCAGACAAGAGAAAAAATTACAACAAACTGCTACAAGTTTAAAATAAAAGATGGTTCTTTTATTACCTTGAGGAGTCGCTGGTTCAGTTTCATGAACCCTTGGACCAAAGAAGTAGAATACATTGTCTCAACAAATACTGTTGTTTCGTAAGTATTTTCAGTGTAGCAGATGCACACGCAAGCCGATTGTTTCTTGCTGTTGTCAGATGAGTTTTGGTATTTGCTTTCATTGGGAAAACCAGCACGTCCATCTTTGTAAGAACTTCAGACAGACACCTTTCTTGGCTCCTGTGGGAACTCCCCCCTTCCACCTTTTTTTTTTTTCCTTTGAGGGTTCTGCAGAGCTGCAGTGCCTTTGCAGTGGATGGACAATTGCAGAAGAATTAGTCTTGAGAGATGCTGTGTGTTTGAGTTGTAACAGTTTTCTTTCTGCTGTTTATCTAGCCTCCTTGCCAACCCCAATGTTTCTTTGTGTGATAGTGACTCACAAGCTACTTAAGCCCTGTAGCATTCCATTCTGACACACTGCAGAGTGACTGTTTTGCACGGCTTTCCATCACTAATTGTGTAATTCTTGAAATCCACAGCACCAACATACTTGATAGCGGAGACGCAGCCTTCCCACAGCTTGCAGCTTCTCCACACAGTATGGACAGCGTGCTTCAGGCTGGAGAAGGTAACTACTCTGCCACCAGGAGTGGCAGTCATGCCTACATGCACAGATTTGTTGCAGTCTTGCACAGAGAACTTCTTAGTAGCGTAAGGAAAAGTGTTGTTTGAGGCAAAAGACTGCTCATGCAGCTCTTGTCCATGTTGTCTATGCTATCAAGTAGTTCACTCAAAGTAAAGAATAAACAGGGCTGGAGAGGAGCCTGTTCAGCTGCAGAACAATGCGGGTGTGATGAGCTATTCTTTATTGAGTCTGGACAAGAAGCTCTACCAGATGTGCTTGAAGCAGGCAGATTCTAAGCACCTGCAGAACGCGGCGTACCTAGCAACACAGAGAGATGTCTAAGAAACACGGCACAGCTGAGTCCAAGTCAGGGCTTCCTGTAGGTTTGAAGGTACTTAAGAAGTGGTAGAATTTAAATAGAGTTCATGTAGTTCTGACCAGCTGTGGGATTCGTACATAAATATGAATGCATTTTGGAAAATGTAAGTTTTACCTGACCTGAAGCTACCTTCCTTGTTTCAGGCGGTCCAAAAAGGAGTCATCCTACTGTCCCTGGAATTCCAGGAGGAACAAGAGCTGGGGCAGGAAAAATAGGAAGGATGATTGCTGAAGAAATCATGGAAATTCACAGGTAAGAAAAAACAGCATGAAGTAATAAGTATAGTTCTTCAGAATGAAATTAAAGAAGTCTTTCTTCAAGCTGAATGCATAATGATGAAATTGCGTTTCATGAGTAAACAGCTACAGATAGCTGTTCAGAATACCTGAGACAGTCACAGCCAAAAGTGAAAGAATGACTGTTACAGCCTTCTGCCTGCCTGCTCTAAGAAACCAGAAACAGTAGGCAAAAAGAGCAGCGAACTGGAAACCAATTCCTTTCCAGACTGTTCTGATTCTTCTAACAGCCTCCATCCTGTCGGAGCCGTTACGTTCAGTGGGTGCCACTATTAATTTCAATAGAATTCCCGTCACAATTTTAGTTTGGGGAGTTGTTCCCTTCCTGTGAAAGTGGCCTCATCCAGCAGATGCTTAGCAGCAGTACTAGTTGCAATTTCAGTCCCTCCCCTCTAGTTTTGTTTCTGCTCCAGACCAGACACTGCCTATCTAAGAGAATAGCAGATTTAGCACAGTGTCTTTCCTGTATATAAGAATAGGAAGGAAGAAAAAATGCTGTCACTCAGGTTCAACCAATACTCTGAAACTGATCCTCCCTTTCAGTTGCAGAACACTCACTTCAGTAAGTGCAGCACTATACCTCATCACCCATGTCTCATTTGAAAAGCCTGGGTTAGTTCCAGTCCTTCCAGCTGTTACTATTTTCCAAAACTGCCTTCTGTTCAGCCTTCCCAGAGGAACGCTGTCAAGGATGAGACTTCCTTCTGCACTGCTTTTCTTTCTAACTGCCCCACCTCCATTTAGTCTCAGGACTTGTTGGTTTTATAGTTAAAATACATTATTCTATAATAATTAAATAAAAAAAAAACACAACCTGATCAAGATAGGAAGAATTGAAATGAGTGAGAAATGCTGACTCAAAGGGTATTAAATATGTATAATGAGTATACATCTATAATACTGCTCTGTGTGTCCAGCACACTTCTCCAGCAGTAGCCCATTTAACACAGAATCACAGAATCACAGAATTGTAGGGGTTGGAAGGGACCTCCAGAGATCATCGAGTCCAACCCCCTGCCAAAGCAGGTTCCCTACAGCAGGTCGCACAGGTCGGCATCCAGGCAGGTCTTGAACATCTCCAGAGAAGGAGACTCCACCACCTCCCTGGGCAGCCTGTTCCAGTGCTCCGTCACCTCACTGTAAAGAAGTTCTTGTGCACATTTGTGAGGAACTTCCTATGCTGCAGTTTCCAGCCGTTTCCCCTCGTCCTGTCTCCACTCACACTGAAAACAGTCTGGCCTCGCCATTCTGCCCCCCACACCTTAGATATTTATAGACCTGGATCAGGTCCCCTCTCAGTCTTCTTTTCTCAAGGCTGAACAGACCCAGTTCACTCAGCCTTTCCTCGTAGGAGAGATGCTCCAGGCCCTTCACCATCTTCGTGGCCCTCCGCTGGACTCTTTCCAAGAGATCCTTGTCTTTTTTGTACTGGGGAGCCCAGAACTGGACACAGTACTCCAGATGAGGCCTTACCAGGGCAGAGTAGAGGGGGAGGATCACCTCCTTCGACCTGCTGGACACGCTCTTTTTAATGCGCCCCAGTAAGCCATTGGCCTTTTTGGCCACAAGGGCACACTGCTGGCTCATGGCCAACCTGTCATCCACCAGGACACCCAGGTCCCTTTCCGCAGAGCTCCCCTCCAGCAGCTCATCCCCCAACCTGTACTGGTGCATGGAATTATTCCTCCCCAGATGCAAGACTCTACACTTGCTTTTGTTAAACCTCATCCAGTTTTTTTCTGCCCAGCTCTCCAGCCTATCCAGGTCTTGCTGAATGGCAACACAGCCTTCAGGTGTGTCAGCCAATCCTCCCAACTTCGTATCATCAGCAAACTTGCTGAGGGTGGCCATTATCCCCTCATCAAGGTCATTGATGAAGATGTTGAACAAGACCAGACCCAGCACAGACCCCTGAGGCACACCGCTGCTTACAGGTCTCCAACCAGACTCTGCACCACCAACAACGACCCTCTGTGCTCTGTCAGTCAGCCAGTTCTCAACCCACCTCACTGTCCACTCATCTATCCCACATTTCCTCAGCTTTGTTATAAGGATGTCGTGGGGGACGGTATCAAATGCCTTGCTGAAATCAAGGTAGACTACATCCACTGCTTTCCCCCTATCCACCCAGCCAGAGACAACATCATAGAAGGCTACCAGGTTGGTCAAGCACAACCTCCCCCTTGTGAACCCGTGCTGACTACTCCTGATAACCTCCTTTTCTTCCAGTTGTCTGGAGATGACATCCAGCACAGCTGTTCCATCACCTTTCCAGGGACAGAGGTGAGGCTGACTGGCCTATAATTGCCTGGGTCTTCCTTGCCTATTTTGAAGACCGGGGTGACGTTGGCTATCTTCCAGTCTTCAGGCACCTCCCCCGTCCTCCAAGACTTCTCAAAGATGACAGAAAGCGGTTCAGCAATCACCTCTGCCAGCTCCCTCAGCATCCGTGGATGAATCCCATCGGGTCCCATGGATTTGTGAACATTGGTGTTGCCTAGGCACTCCTGGACCACCTCGTCCCTGACCGAAGGGAGGTCTTCCATTCCCAAGATCCTCTCACTAACCTCCAGGGTCTCAGATTCCCGAGGGGGAGCTTTTTCACTGAAAACAGAAGCAAAGAAGGCATTCAGTATCTCCGCCTTCTCAGCATCCCCCGTTACCAGAACACCCCCGTCACTTAGCAGGGGAGCCACATTCTCCCTAGTCTTCCTTTTACTGTTAATGTACTTGAAAAAACCTTTTTTATTATCTTTTATCCCCTTTGCCAGATTTAATTCCAGGCAGGCTTTAGCCTTCCTTGTCGCATCCCTGCAGACCCTGACAACATTCCTGTATTCTTCCCAAGTAGTCAGACCCTTTTTCCACATTTCATGGGCCTTCTTCTTTCCTTTGAGTTTGTGCATGAGCTCCTTGCTCATCCACACAGGTCTTCTGCCACCCTTTCCCGATTTCTTCCTCACAGGGACGCACTGATCTTGAGCTTGGAAGAAGAGCTGCTTAAATGTCGACCAGCTCTCACAGGCCCCCTTGCCTTCGAACACCCTAGTCCATGAGACAGCTTCAAGTAGGCCCCGGAAGAGATCGAAGTTGGCTCGCCTAAAGTCCAGGATAGCAATCCTACTTTTTGCTTTACTTATTCCACTCAGAAGGGTGGAACTTCCGCTCTTCCACACGTCTAGATCTGTGTGATGGCGACAGCTCGCACTCTTAGCTGGTAGAAACTGAAGTGCAATATAGAAGAAAAGAAGAGGTTTCCTCAGTAAGCAGGATCATTTCCTTGCTCCATCTCAGTTTAGGCTGCACAAACAAATAAGGGGAAGGGAAGTACCATGGGAAGAAGGCAAAGTTTACAGACTGGGCAAGCTGGACTTGTTACTAGTTACCCACAAACTTTTATCTTGCTGTAAATTAAAAGTTGCTACAGGTAGTTTGAATAATACTGAAAATTGAGGAAACTGTACAAATGAAGTATGCCACCTGCTATTGAGATCAGCACCCGAGTCTCCAAGTTTCTGGTAAACTCATTCCCTATTTCCCATACGATAGGATAAGAGGATCATCACCATCGAGCTGTGGTTCAAGTCCACTGAACATTACCAGCACACCACCGCCCGATGCCTCCTCCCCTGGCAGCAAGAAGGTAAGAACAAGCTTTGTGGACAGGCTTGTAACAGTAGTGTCAAACACACGGAGATGATGCTTACAAAACAACATGTGGTGCGGAATTCTCAAACTGCTCGGCCAAAGAAGTCTGACAGCAGGTCAGAGTATTCTGGTGTTTAAAATCCCAATACCGTTGTCTTTAATGTGCAGAGACCAGTGATTCTTAGCAATGACAGCTTTTGAAATCCACCTGCTCTTTGTTTTGCTCTTTTTTAATATTAAAAAACTGCTGCAAAGAACAGCTCTCCTTCCGTCTCTTGCTCGTCCAGAAACTCTCTCACACCACGTACTGGTGAATGCAGGAATTGCTACAGTGTGAGCACTGACGGTGTGCAAATGAATCATAAGTTACACTGTACTGCTGTAGCACAAAATATGGCAATTAGATGCCTCACTGTGCACTGACATGTTAAGTCAATACTACATACCATGCTAAGATTGCTTAAGTAGCATTCACATACCATTACTAACACTTCCCTTCCCAACCACTGGTACTAGCTACGTTTAAGTCATCCACTAAATGGCTACTTACAGCTGTCATGTTCAAGACAAGAAGAGCACTTATCCATATCCTTACTCTGTGCATTCAAACGCTGCCACAGATTTATCTTTCCCAGAAATTACAGTGGCTGTACATAGGAACTAATTGACTAGAGCACGTAATTGACAGTAAATATTTTTATTTCTGGATTTCTTTGTTCTTAAAATAAAACTTCAAGCTGGAACAGTTATCATTCTAGAAAGAGTCATTCTTGATCATTCTGCTCATCAGTAACTCAATACCTACATAATGTAAGGATTACTGTAACCTAATAAAGGAGACTACATGAAGAGAGTTGGAAATTCTAATAGCATAGCCTCTCAATATTTCTCTTTAGTTAGAAAATGAAATTTGCTAGGAAGAACACAAGTTCTAGATGATGCCACCCACAAAAGGGAACACAGAAGTACTCAGTTTGTGCATTTCTGAGCTGTTGAAAACCATAGTTCAAGTTCAGCTGTTCCCTTGCTACTTTTTAGCATTCCCAAAGAAGGCACTTCTGTTTCTTGCTTGCTCTCATGCCCGCAGTGCTGCTGTGCTCTGTAGCTAAAAAAGCATGAGACTTGAAGTCCAGAAGCAGTGCTCAGCTGTGGAGCCTCTCTCTACCTAGGAGGACTGCACTCTGAAAATGGAGGGTCTTAATTGACAGTACTTTCCAGGCACTGTATTTGTAAATTCAGAAGCATCCATAGTTGGCTGTCATTACGCTCACTTGCAGATGGAGTACTTAGAATGATGATACCCAGAAATACTCTCAGGACTTTCTCTAGCAGTTACACAGAAGTGCATTTAGAGGTTTAGCATAGTGCTGACTTAGCGCCACCAGGAAGGAAGAGATCCATCATCTGTCTGCTTAATAGAGGTAAGACAGGGAAAGCAGTTCCTAGTTTACATATAGTCAGACTAGCCTTTAGGTCCTGGATTTTTTTTTTCAGGAAGTCCATACTCTCCGCATTAAAAGTCCTACACTATACAACAGTTTAGACTTAATACAACATTTCATGCTGTCTTATGGCTTCTCTATTTTTTTTTTTCCCCAAGATCCTGAACGGTGGCACTCCAGACATTTCTTCAGCTGGATTACTATCTGGGCAAATCCAAGATAGCTCTGGTTACCCATATTCTGATAACTCCTCTATTCTTGGTAAGTGAAGGCATACAGAAACATGCCTCAACTTCAGCTAAACACACAGACAGCTGTAGCAGGATGACCACTGTTAGCAATGATGTGCCTTTACCATCTGCAGTACATAGCTGAGCAGTGAAGCTTCTAATCTGCTGTGCCTTAAGAGGTAGCAAGCAGAGGAGCCTGGCAGCCTACTTTGGTAGCTTAAGTGTATTTGGAAGCCCCTTTTCTCTGTCTGAAGGTACTTTTTATGAGTACTTCTCAACAGCTGGGAGGAGAGACAGGGTCACAGCCTGGGTATGTCTGAGAGGTGACCTGACCTTTGTACTCTGACTACCAGGCATCAGATGTATCCCTGCATCTGGCTATCAGATCTGATCACACACCCAGAATAGCTCAGCCAGTTCAGGTACTCAAGTCACATAGCAAGCAAAACAAAACAGAACAGCTTCTGACACCGGACTCATTGTATTTATACTTACAGGGGAGAACTCCCACATAGGCATCGACATGATTGACAACGATCAGGGATCGAGCAGCCCTAGCAACGACGAAGCAGCGATGGCAGTAATAATGAGCCTTCTTGAAGCAGATGCAGGTCTGGGTGGCCCCGTAGATTTCAGTGATTTGCCATGGCCCTTGTAAATGATGCACCTTGCTTCAACATCCAAATATCAAAGTGCATTTATTGGTGGAGTTCTGCAGTCTGTGAAACTCAGTGGATGGAGAAGCTTTTATGTATGAATTTCATAAAAGCCATATCAGAATGCAACTCATTCTTACCATGTGTAATGTCAGACAAAGTGGAATAACCCGCTACAGTGTTCCGTGTTGATTTGGTTAGCTGTGTATAGCTTGCAATACCTGTATATTTTGGATTCTGTTATTTGAATTTTTTTTTAATCACTGTGCAACTCACGGGCATCAGTGGTAGCTTTTATATGCAAATGACCATTTCAGATGTATGGTGTGTTTTTACACTGCAAAACAGTCCCCATGTGGATATTTCTTATACTAATTGTACCATAAAGCTGTTTATTCTTTCTTGTAAGAATCCTTTACTATAAATATTGTTAAAGTGTAATGTATTAGACAGTTAAATATTTTTAAAATAAATGTTTCCCTTGTTCTAAGATGGAGCATTTCCTTTGATAAATAAATTTGATAAAACCCTGCTGAAGATGCATGCAAGAAGCAGTTGCCTATTTATCATTTCTTTAGCTCTGAAGGAAACAGAAAAATCAATGCCTTACAGACACTTATGGAATTCTGTCACTACACTGCATTCTTAAAGATGATATTACTTAGAAATTTCAGTTTAAACTATAAAAAAAACCCCTTAGCAAGGTGAGTTAAGGCAGACAGCACAACAGATATCTGATTTTAGGAAATAGCCACTTTTCACTCTTACATTTGAAGTCACCTCCAACCACCCTGAAAAAAGCAAAAAGCAACTTACGAACCTCATCTGTATATTTAATCTCACTTACACATAATTCAAACCCATTAAAATAATGGAAATTTTATTTGCATGAAAAACTCGTTTACAATCAGTAAATGAAGAATGAACCATTTGCATTTTCCTATTTCATGACACTTATGAAAAATTTAGTAAATAAATACTTGTGAACATAATAAAGTAAGGCAAAATTTAAGATAAAGCCCCTATCCACTGTTCACAACTTTTGAACATGGCTCACGCTGCAAACAAGTGAAAAAATTCACTGAAGAACTTTAACAAGGAGTTACGTGGGTAATTGAATCACGTCCTCAATCCAAAAACCCAATGGTAAGTAGTTTTGTGCTCAACCATACGCAATAACTTTAGAAGGGTCAATCTATTCAGAGCAAAACTATTTATAGTTAATACTTTTGATAGAAGCACTTTGTTAGTATTGTGCAATAGATTTATAAAAAATGGCTTGGAATTCCATTTATCAACCATTTGTAAAGTGCTACTATCAATGCCAAATCCTGCATTCTAACCCCTGTGTAACAATACTGAACGCACACAGCCCCCGGCATCCTGGCAGTTTTGATGGGCTTCAGAGCGAGGACAGTCCGGCATACAAATAATCAACATCACAAACCTACCGGTGAACAAATACATGTAACTGTAACCCCAGAATGTTTTATCTGTACCCTTTCAAAAACAAGCAGAGACTCCCCTTGGTCTTTCCAAAGGTCCATACTGCAATATCCTAAACACCATTACACAATGAAGAAAACTGGAATTGCAGTGTAGTATGAATTGAGTACAGGGTTGCTGTAATGGAGCATGCTTTATTTTTTATATCAGTCTAAATCAAAGGGGCGGGTTCTGTCCCTCAGTATCCATCTCACTGTTACTGGGTGGAGGATGAATAGGCAGAATATCCAGCTCATCTACTTGGGGGGTAGGATGCATTACCACGAGCTGATCCTGGGGTATATCTGCTGCCGCTGCTGCTAGGTTTGTAATAGATTTGCTTTTCACACACTGGAAGTCAACATGCCGGCTCTTTCCTTCCTCCTTCTCCCAGGACATCCGAATAAACGGCCTCTGGACATAGTTGTAAATCACCTCTGGTCTTCCACCTGGTCGCTTTTTCACTTTCTCCTTGTATGTAGGGTAACCTAAGAAACATTACAGTACGGCAGAAGTTAACACTGCTTTCTGGTGAAAGAAATCCCTGAACTAAACAGTATGAGAAACACATGAAGCATAATGAAGATGAGCACTTGTTTACCATCAGCAGCCAGAATGGAAACACTCAGCTGTGCTGTTCTTGATGTTATATAAGAAAAGGCAACACAGAGACAGAGACTGCACTACCACACAAGCTGTAATAAAAAAAGGCTGCAATGCTCCTGATGATGCAGATGTTTCCAAGACAACTCTCCAAGCTCCACAGCAAAGCCAGTTGCTCTGTGAACACTGACCTGTGAAGTGAGACCTCAAAAAGAGACCTCAAAACTAGAGAGCAGTGCCACTTTGATCTGCGGTTCAAGTCCTCAAGCAGAATCCTAGCACTGCAATTCATCTCACATCCTCCCAGCTTCCCCAAGCTAAGAAAATATAGTTTTAGACCAATCCTTTCCTCCTGTGCTCTAAGCAGCAATTTTCATTACTAGAAAGTTGCACGTAACTACGGCATGCGAGCATTGAGTCAAACTGTTGCCCTTTGTCTAAAACAAATGCCAGCAAAAATAATCTGTTATTAGCCAGCATTACAGATGGAAACAGTTCTTGGTAGTTTAATGGCATGTCAGCTAGGAGGCTCATGCTTTGTTCACTTGAACTTATTTTTAAGTTCACAAGTGTTTGATGCATTTGCTTTTCGTTGGCAAATTACAAACGTAACCATGACAACTTGGTGTGTGAATGCTAGAAATTGACAAGTGACAAAAGGCTGTATTTTTAAATATTTGGGTCAACAATCAAAGAAAACGCAATAGAGAGCAGCCCAGTTGTTACATCCATGATAAAAATCTAAGCCAACTAACTGTACTTGTTTTTCACAATGCCAGAGCTGAGATTTTTACCCATCAGCTTCTTCAAGGCACAAGATGCTTATTTCACAGAATCACAGAATTGCTCAGAATCGTAGAGGTTGGAAGGGGCCTCCAGAGATCATGATCCAACCCCCTGCCAAAGCAGGTTCCCTACACCAGGTCACACAAGTAGGTGTCCAGGTGGGTCTTGAACATCTCCAGAGAAGGAGACTCCACCACCTCCCTGGGCAGCCTGTTCCACTGAACAGATTTCAGATTAATATTTCTTTGCACTTCAGTGATGCATTTAATAGGTTTGCATTTCCTAAAAGAAAACAGCTAGATGCAACTTAGATTTTTCATTTCGAGCCCAGAAAAAGACACGAGACCAAGAACAGAACATATAAAAGCTGTAAAAGGACTCCAGGACTTCAAATGAAGCAGAGCAAGAACAGAGAAGATTCTCATGAAAACTGAAGGGGAACAGCATGAGATGCAGCCCTAAGATGCTATAAACCATGTAAGCTACTCAGCAGCTATGTAAGTCTTGTGGAGCAGCCAAGCCTGTAATCAGGTTTCCAGCTGGACCAGTTGTTTTTTGACTACCACTCCCCCCAGCCATGTTGTCATCTACTGTCAGTGATGTCACCCCACAAGGTGAATCAACCCTTGTATCTTCAATAGTACAGATGATCATAAAGCCTTACCTTCAATGCCCAATCGGATCTTCTTGAGCCCTCTTTCCTTCAAAACAGACTTGGCAACGTCTCTATTTTCAATGTATTTGAAGAATCTATACAACTTTGTGCTGTAAATAACTGAAAGTACATTTTAATGAGGAAAAATTGTACTCAAATGATTCAGCTTCTGGTCCTAGAAATAAGGTTTCATTATCTTTTTTCATTGTCCTGCTTTATATAACTGTTTGTTACTCCAGAAGGAGTGGGAAAGACCTAAAAGCTCCTCAAAACACACGAAACAGAAACCAGAAAAAAAGTGGCAGAAGGCACTGTGAAACTGGTTGGTTGCATCTGGTAATTCTTCTTATCATTTAGTTTTTAATACATGTAGTAAAAGAACTCACAAACCACACTAAATACTCTCAATGCATCCTCAACAAAGGATTTTTTTTTCCCCCGGGTAAGATGTAATTCCTTTACACATTCTAGGGAGTTCAGCCTTCAAAGTCAGAAACTTTAAATGCCTTCTAACAGTAAAAATTAGCTCCTCTTCTTAAATAGACTTGAATGAAGCAAAATAGTGAACAGAACGGACAAAGCTAATTTTTTTGAAGCATCTGGATGTTATGAGGAGTGCTCACACATACATCAGTTAGATGAGCACTTTTACTACCATGGAGCAGCAAGGCAGAAACAAAATAACCTTACTTTGCGAATACTCCTCTCCCATTTGAGGAGGATACTCTTCGTCCCAGTCAACAACATCATCATCCGTCAGCACAACAATGTGGCACTCCCGCTCACCACTTTGGGCACTGGCAACCATTAAGGGGAGAATCATTTCTTCGAGGTAAAACTCAAACTGTTTGCGAGCACCATCATTTGACAACTCATGCATGAGAGCACCTGGAACATTTTAAAAAGCATTGAAGTTGGTTAAGAAATGAGGGCAGGAGCAAGAAACACAGAACTCTGTATTTACAGTATTTACTGCAGACAGCTGTAAAGACACTTAGTTCATTAGTTTGAATATGATCAGAACTTTTTCCCATTTCCACCGTAAGCTGCACCAGGAGTTCTAACTGACAGCACTGTCCTGCTGGTAGGACATTCACATTCACTGGGTAGACAGTGGCACAACTTCCAGTGGACTTGCTAAATGTTTTTACTGCCCCTCAATGTGAGGAAGTTGCACACAAGACTCCTCTTGGGTTTCCTAAAAGCAGCACTATTTAAGCCTGCTGCTGAAGGAATAACGCATGCACCCACTTTTCATAAGCGGCAGTTTAAAACCAAAATCCTCTCAAAATCCTCAAAGCATCAGCTCTGAAATCCTGCTAAGACAGAATGACTGAGCAGGCAACACGTAGTGAAGCCATGGCGCTGCTGGTGAAGGCACAGGTGCCCTGTACATATCTTACATGTCTTACAACTGCACAGCCACCACAAAATCACAGCAACCAGAGACATGGCCAGGTGATCTGACCTGCTGGCCAAAGCTTTGGCTGCATTCAGGGAAGACACCAGCTGGACATACACTGCACACTCATAACCATGACGCACCACCAGCACAACTCTACTACTTTCACTAGCAGTACAGCTCAGTTTTCATGGGCAGGGAGTTGAATAACTTCCATTCCCGCTCTTCTACAAGATACCACTTAATGCTAGTGTATCCCTACCACAGATAAATCAGCACAGCTTAACTATTACACACTTCCAACCAGGGCACTAAAATATTTGAGTATCACATATTTCAATATCTAAAACATGATTTTTCACAAGCTGCATATCCATTTGGAGCCCTACTTTAAGAAAAAAAGGACGGATTTTGTTCATATAGTATCAGACGTGTTCCTTATTTCAATAAAGAAAAATCTGCAATTAATCCTTCAGATGTTTGCTTAAGTTAGGCTGTACAATTCATTTTAATAAAGTGCATACTTACTGAGATCCCTGCATTTAATAGTACTGTACTC